CATGTCACAGGCTCTCACGTGGTAATCATGACATGCGTGTCATGTGAGAACATGACTACATGCCACGCTCATGATGCACTCGCAGTGGTTCCGCTAGCTTCACATATACCAAATTTGGTACTACGTGACGTGAATAGATGACGAAGGTGTATGACTAATGCAAACATAGTGTGTATGGCATAGCTGTCATGTGAGAACATTACTACATGCCACACTCATGATGCACTCGCGGCCGTTTCGCTAGCTTCACACACCAAATTTGGTGTTACATGACGTCAACGGATGACGAAGGTATATAATTGGTGCAAACATGATAAGGATGACATGCGTGTCATCTAAAACATGACAATATATCACGCTCTAGACGCACTTGCGGCCGTTTCACTGGCTTCACATATACCAAATTTGGTATTACGTGACGTGAATGGATAACGAAGGTAAATGACACGTCCAAACATGATAATCACGACACGCTTGTCATGTAAAAGATGACTGCATGCTATACTCATAGCGCGCTCGCGTCCGTTTCGCTAGCTCCACGTATTCAAAATTTGGTATCACGCAACGTGAATAGACGACAAAGGTAAACGAAATGTCCAAAGATGATAATCATGATATGCATGTCACTGAAACCATGACTACATCCTACAATGATAGCGTGCTCGCGGCCGTTTCACTTGCTCCTCATATGCCAAATTTGGTATTTTGTGACGTAATGGACCATGAAGGTGAATGACACGTTCAAACATGATAACCATCATATGCATGTCATGTAAAACAAGACTACATTCTACGCTGATAGCACGCTCGCGGCCATTTTGCTAGCTCCACGTATAACGAATTTGGCATCACGTGACGTGATTAGACGATCAAGGTAAAAGACACGTCCAAAGATGATAGTCATGACATGCGTGTCATGCAAACCATGAATACACGCTACGTTCATAGAGTGCTCACGGCCGTTTCGCTAGCTCTACATATACGAAATTTGGTACGCCGTGGCGAGAAAAACGACGAAGGTAAATGACACGTTCAAACATGATGATCATGACATAAAAGTCATGTAAGGCAAAATTTATGTCCGCGTCGTAACGTTGTGCTGATTTTGTAGTGGCATATCATTCTTCCTAATTTGTGCTTCGCATATCATTGATTGGCACTGATCATGGGGCCTGAAAATTTTATCGAATTGAAGTGTTATGCTATGTTTATGTCTTGATTGCCGAGAATATATTTGTGCTCACTAGATGCAACAGTCTGTCGGAGAAAACTTTGTGTTTTCGAAGCCGGATCACTCCTTGCATCTAAACTCTATTCCACGATATACGCAGCTAGAAAATAATAAGTTAATTAATCGAATATGCATGGTACAACATTAACTATATATATTAGGATGCTTCCGTGATTTGTTGATTACGTCAGTGGCTTGACAGTATGGATGTTTTTATGTCCTGAAGTTATTTGTTTACTCAGAATGGTTATGTCCTGGCTGGCTCCACATTTTTGGTTAAAATTAAATCATTCCACCTGGTCTGATTAGGTAAGCATAAACTTGGATCAGTCCAGGCATTGTTGAAAATTGACGAAATATACTATTTAAGGAAGGCCAAAAGGCAGCTTTGAGGAGGTGTTCTCAATAATTCATTTTACTCGTGTCTAATTTGTAGTCGCCACTGTGGTAGCTGGAGTATTTTCCGTGGTCGGCTGCTGACAGGAAAGGCGGGGTCAGACCCTGGGCGCCGCGGTCGCATTTTCGATAGAGGCAATGACGCTGGAGGCCTGTGTACATAGAAACAGAAGCGCTAAAAAAACAACAGGAGGTCGAAATTGCCGGAGCCTTCCACTATACGGCATGCCTCGTACTTATATCGAAGTTTTGGAAAGTATAACTCCACAAATCGCCTTTATTAACCTAAATTGTTCAACAGATTTTTTATCATGATGAATTCAAAGAAGATTTGTATCGCTAATAGAAGTGTATTTGTAGGTGACCACAAAAGTATTAACAACTATTTTTTTTTCACTCAGCGTCATACAGAACAGTGGGCCCGACTACATCCCTATTGATACATATCTAAACCGACTGTGCTTGTTTTCCGTAAGGTGGTGCCAGGCACCCTGATGAAAGAAATATACACTTTAGGGTTGGTCAATATATTCAAACATAAGCGCAAGATATACCACGAGGGACAAGATGTAGCTGTTTTTTTCTCTCTCAGGCTTACTTTGTCACCGAAAGAATGTTCATGTTTATCGCCAGGTCAATGCTTCCTCTAAAGCAGAGCCGCAGGGGGAGGTGAACGTGCCGACTTATCTTTGCCACGTCGTGCTAAAGTGAGCCAGTGCAATCTGGCTTCTTTGCACGTGGCTATAGACACGTGCATATTTTCTTACTAGCTAAAGCGGCGTACTAGAACATTCTTTTGCCGGTCATGTGAGCGTCTCGGATTTCTCACCTGTGGTACTCTGTACATGTACTTTTTCTAACATATTTATGTAAACTTCGATCAGTAATGCATCTAGTTCTTTCTTTCTTTCTTTCTTTCTTTCTTTCTTTCTTTCTTTCTTTCTTTCTTTCTTTCTTTCTTTCTTTCTTTCTTTCTTTCTTCCTTTCTTTCTTTCTTTCTTTCTTTATTTCTTTCTTTCTTTCTTTCTTTCTTATTTTTCTTCGTTTCTTTCTTTCCTAAATTTTTGTGTTGTTTTCGATGCAAACTTGGAACGGAAAATGAAGGCTTCATTTCTTCGAACCCGACTGGTTTAGTTAAATAGCACTGAAGTTAAATGCGAATAGAAGCATTGTCGTTTGTATACGCCTGTACCGAAGTATAGTGTCGTTAAATATTCCTTAAGTGCTTCGCAGTGTCTCTACACATTGACAACGATAACTTAAGTTTTAGTTAGCTCCGCGCCTTTTCCACCCTTCTTGCACACGGAAGCACTTAGATGCTTGGCTATGTGTCACGTCTCAGTGACATTGGGAAAAAATGGAAGTCGGGGGAAAAATCTTTACGCCATGATCGCCAGCATCAATAGCTACCACCAATACCACAACGTGAATGGCAACCACATCAACAATGACGAGCTCGACGAAAGATCCTCCGTGACCTTCAAGATACGATGAAATGAAGCCTAATTGTGGCTAACAACAGTCACAACAGCAACAAATAATATGACAACAGCACAAACAAAACAGGACCCTTTGACTCATTCCCCTTCTTTCGTTCGTAGCTTGGTAGCAGCTCTCACGTACGAGGCTGCTGCTCCCGTGTCAGCAGCACTCATTTTCTTTCTGTTTAGTTGCAAAACAAAAAAGGGAAGGTCGATGCACACGGCACACCAACAGACTGATTCTTTTTATCCCTGCACAGAAATAAAAAAGAAGAATTAGGTATGCGATCATGAAGTGGACATCATGGCAGACTAAAGACCTCGGGAAATACATTAGACATCTGATAAGCCAGACATTGATTGCTTGCAACGAAACAAAGGAGCATGCAGTGGCACGTCAGAAAGTAGGTGTTACAAGGGGCGCAGGAAGCGCTTTGAAAAATGTTCATCAAACACTATCTGTGCTTCTCTTTGATCTCGAATAATGCTGTAATGCAGCACCTATCGATCACAGCTTTGTTTCAATAAACCATCTCCAGTGCCTGTCACTCCAGTACCTTAGCCACTAGACCACCATGGCGGGGCGGAGTGCTATTCCTGCATCACTATGAGTTCTCTATGGCGTCCTAGCAGTGAGTTTTGTCTACCATCGGGGCTGATGATTAACATCTGCAGCCGCCTGCACAAACGACAATTATGACGTATATAAGCCACATTTCCAGCTTTAGAAGTGAACTAACGTTAGTATAATACAAGTAGTACAGTAATAAACAACGTGAAGGCAGGAGGAAAAAGAGGGGAGAGAGCTATAGGATAGAACGCTGGTGGTTTGTTTCTTCCGCGTGTGTTTACGACGTCCAGTTGATGGTAGTCTGATAACGCTGGTGCAAGATACATTCAAAGTATACACGCACGCACGCTGTACCAGCCTGCCCTCGTAAACTTCATCTTAATGTCAGCCCTCTACATAAGTTGGGCCTAATAAAACTGCCAGTAATTAAATCATTTTGTAGAATTGTACCGCGAAAATCATTATATTTATTTGGTGCAAATGTAGCTTGCATACAGTGATGTCACGCCACTTGATCGGCTGGTTAATTGCATATGCTGCTACTTCATAGATGCCCGAAAAAGACAACTTCGATACCGCGATGTGATAGTTCGACTGCATCATGATATTCGAAAAATCGTCGATATTAACGTGATTTTCTGCGTGTAGCTTGCTCTCTCTCAAGATGTGATAGTGGTATGTTCCCACTGTTGACAAATTTAGACGATACGTAATATGCATATCTTTGTCATCAAAAGCGAGACGTTTGAATGATTGTCATTGCAATGAAGTTGCCATTGAGTTGATGCAGTATGAAAAAGACTGCCTGTTCGGGCCGCTTTTAGGGAGGCATGGTGAAACAGGTCATACTTTTCTCGTTGTGTGAGAAAGTGGTCTTAAGTTCTAATTAATAACGTATAACCATGCGCACACCACAAGGTTACAAAGTAGCCCATATTACTGAAGGGCTATATAGGTGCAGAGCGGAGATTCAAGTGACAGAGGCGTTAGCAGGCTAAATCTAAACCATCCAATCAATATTACTGGGTACACTGAAATCATGATTGATGTCGGACATAGGGCATCCGAATGAGGAACAAAGATTCGACACACATATTTGTTGTCTCAGTACTCGATAATGACCTTCCTGGTAATGCTAGCTGTATGCGCTCTCCGGGAATTTAGATTTGTAATGACGCGCTACTCCTAGAGGAGCTTGTCGTTTGCTGAACGACTCTTCACGCCGGTTCTTATCAGTTGCGGCTAAGAGGCGCGACATATTTATGTGTGCTGTATTTTTCGTCATTCTTCGATAACATTTCCGACGGGTTGCTCGAGGTATCTGACATACACAAGTGCGTTTGTACCTTGCCGCGAACGCATCAAGGGGACACTGCCTTGGTTTGCAGACTTAACACACACCCTTTTTCGCACTTACTTTCTCCTTGCTTCACTGCCCGCCGCGTGCGTCTTCATAAGTGCACTGCTTATCGCACACCCTCTCCCCACCTTATCGTTGACTCAGCCAACTGAGTCCGCGTTACATGAGATACCTCAAGCGTATATATACGAAGTCTGTGGTTCGGCTTCTTACCTACTCGGGTAAAGTCAGTTCAAGAAATCTGCTCAGCGCACCACACTGACCATGGCCGGCAGCTACGAAGGTATGTGTCGTTTTGTTTGTCACCACAAATCGTCGAATTACACATGTTCCTGCCACAATGCGGTGCTGTGTTTTAACTTTATAGTGATTTCTGTAGATGCGTCCAGATGAATTTAAGTTAAGGTTGCACTTTTCTAGTAAGTTGTCGCTGCATCGGCTACACTTCCCGCTCGCTACGTACACGCAAAGAGCAAATGTCTTCTTTCGTACGTGTGATTTTTTGCTATTGGTGGGCCGCCTTCGCTAATGGTATGCTCAGCATCGGGATTGGCTGGGAAGTTGGCTCACGAATATTTTTTACGCAAGACGTTTTTATGAATTGGTGTAAAGTGCGTTTATGGCCCTGAATAATCAACAAGGCTCATAATCACAAAGACAAATAGATTGGTGTTATTCACAGGAGAAAGTTTCAGCCAATCATGATGCAGGGAATGTTGTACTCGAAGCCCTCTGACGGACTGAAAATAGCAGTAACAAATCTGACGTTTCCTGAATTCAGTGCTTAAGGTTGGTAGACAGACTCCCAGAAGTGCTGCCGTCATTCACAAAGTTCTGTTTGTTATAGCTGAGTTTGCACAAAACTGACAATGGCCACGTCGCTTTTCAAGTGAATTGCACTTATGTAAGCGGCTGCATTGTGCTAGAAAGGTGAATGCATAATAATGCCGCCTAGTTTGGGTAGATAGAGATGGTATAAGCCCTCTCACGTGGTGCATGTCTACGTTGTCGTATCACACAACAGAGAAAAATAAAGGAATAAAAGTTCCTTCGTATGCTCGCTTCCACTAATCAGAAAAAAATTCACTTGCCGCAAGAATAAATCATATCACCAAAAATGTTCTTCAGCACATACAGTTTTTAAGAGATACCAGTAGGCGGTGATGTTAGACATCATATTTGTCGAGATGAATGGCTGAATGCTAGGAGCGTTTGCCACAAACTGATTTCTGAGAATGACGCCATGAGGCCAGTCATCTGCACGTGTTCATGTTTTGTGGTCGAATGAGGGCGCACCATGTGTAAACGCTGTCGCCAAGGGCTACAGTGACATATAAAACATTTTTTATTTTTCGCATTCGTGCATAGACGACGTATGAATACTTAATAGTAGATTTCAATACGATGACCGATGAGTCAAACATATTAAGTTCTCTGTCACTAGCTGCAGAGAATTGCATATATTAAGTGACACATGTTTACGACTACTCGGAAACGATAGCAACATGTGATATTCCAGCTCACAATAACAAAAAGGTGCAACCCCGTGACCTCATTCTGTTGGAACTAAGTTTCAAAGAAGCTTTTTGAAGAGCGCCGCTTCCTTCTACGACCATGAGGTCAGCTCTAGCCGCTGGGATCAAAAGCTTTCCAGGCTTACGGAGCTTCAATACAAAATCGCATATATCATGAAATTCTCGACACTCGATTTGCGAAGAGCATCTTTGCCTCTTACCTCTCGCATAAGCCCTAGTATTTGGAATTTAGTGACACACACCCTTTCAGTCTTCAGTCCAACCGTATATGCGACAATATATATATATATATATATACTATATGATGAAGGCCAGGCTCTAGGCCGAAACGTCGAAATAAACCACGTTGTGACCGCTCACGGTGGATCTACTAGACTATATATATATATATATATATGTGTGTGTGTGTGTGTGTGCTTTGTTGCATGTTAATCGCGCACATGTCCGTGATTGTGGTATCAACGGTTTTCTAATTACCTATTGGCATAACAGCCACCGCATAAACGGCGAGAAATCGCTCTCGCACGCTTACACTAATGCTTTTTTTTTTACGCAACTACGTCAGGGCCAGGCCGCCTACGGAAATTTCACGCGTAACCGCAGGCCGTACCTAGCCAGGAAAAATTTGACTTAAAATCCCGGCTAATTTTTGTCCCGCCTATTCTGAAGGCCACTTCAGATCGGGCCGGTTAGTCTGGGACACGCCTACGGAGCCGTGTAACTAATTGACTAAAAGTGGCCGTAAATTTGACTTCATTTCCTGCCTACTGGTGTGTATTATAGCCAGGATTTGACTAAGAGTGTACAACAGTTTTTTGGTACTTGGAAGATATTTTTAACGTCTATTTGCACTTAAGGTCAGGAGAACCACATTTCTTTTTCTTGATGCTGTAAAATTATCGGCAATGCTTCATGATAACATTAAAAGCAGTCGTACTGGGAATGAGCTTTGAACTTTTGACACCCACCTGTGCACATACAGAGCGCGAATATAGCCCGCGAATATATACAGTCCCTTCTACCAAGTAGAATGGACTGTTCAAGTTACATTAAAACGTAGCATTGCACGGCATTTCAAGCACTACTAAAGCGTAGCCTTCGGAAGATATGATAAGTGTAAATGGTGCCCTGTATTGATTGTTACATGACGCAAATAAAAAAGTAATGATGAAAGTTCACATTAAGGTCAGCTTCAAGGCACAAAATTAGTACACGACCCTTATTAAAGATGCAGGTTGTTTTCGTCGTTAGATGAAGGCATATTTATTTGTAAGGTATTGTAAAAGCTAAAACGTTACCAGACGAGTATATTTCCATCTTAGAGCGTACATATGATGCTCGAACGGAATGAATTCCTTCATATAGCCCAAAAATAGCAATCGCTCAAATTTGCACTCGAATGCTCAGACCTATAAATACGCGGGCATGGGCTTAGGTGAACAAAGGTTCTGAAACTTTTTTTTTACAGTAATAAAATTCTAAGAGACAAATAATAGAAGAGAATTATGAGTACATCATTACTGAAACACGATTGGCTGAAAAGAACTATTAAAGGATATAACGTGTTTTCATGTTTCAGAATGACAATATTACATTATTATCAAGGTTATTGCAGGGATTTTGTTTCGATATTGTGAATTTGATCTTTAGAATGATTATAAATCTGGTAGTTGCATCTAAGTATTTCATGCTGCTGACTAAATCCTGGCAGCTGCCAGCTCTATAGAAACATATATGGTGGCGCTAGAAGGGCTACAGGCCTGCATAATGATTAAAAAAAATACGCCGTCCTCTCTCTTTAGGGTGCCCTCTCTCTTATACTTCCATGTTTCATCAATACGACAAACAAATGAATAATGCGTTTAATGAACCTTATTTTTACTGCCTTTTATCGTGATCGTTCATTCATTCATATTATGTGTTTTCTCAATCACACAATAATTGTTTGTTCGCAGTTTCACATTTTTTCGACCATTCATTCGTTTCTTTACTTATCTGTGTTTTAATTCCTGTGGTTCTTAATGCACCCCCCGGCTATGAATCGGGGCCGTGTTTAGTAAGATCATCATTTATCTAGCTCTCCAAGAACGCATGAGGAACCTTCTTCTCTGCTTCTTTGGGTTGGCAGATTCAAAGGTGAATTACTACCTATTTATCTACGTGATGATGAGGGTATTACTACAGCAACAGAAGAAATTGACCTTGTAACGGAGTGCTCGCAAATAGTTAGGCCTCGAGTTTCTTTTTACATTCTAAGTATACACACACCACAGAGCGTGAACCCATTCCGTATGAAGCTAGCTGATCATTAACAGCAAAGGTAGAACACTGCTGCTCCACCATGCAAATTTACCTGTATGCTATGAACATACTACACCAAGCAAAGGGAGGCGCTCTTTAACATAATTTCCTAAAGGGAACTACTCGTTGAATAAGTTAATTGTTTCTGAGAAACTTCAGTAGTAAGGAAAACGGTCTTCTGAATGCTCGCTATACCTTCGTTAGATTGCCTTTTTCACAGAAGCATCTTAAAAACAAATGAATATCCTAAAAAAAAACCACTGATGTCTCCACCTGAATTCCCATTCTTCTGTAATACACTACCCTTCACCTGACTTGTATCGGTCATGTATAGGCCTCTTATATACCATTCTCTCACCTGCTTTGAGAAGTGGTTCGTGTAACCTTTTTGCTATTATTCATTGACTCAAGAAGGCGTTTGCCCGAAACCCCTTGCGCGAGTCGCGTTCTGAGCTGAATTGACGTACGAACCCAACAAACGCCATTGGCCAAACCCTGCTGAATACGCCGGTTCTCGTCCGAACCCAACAAAGAACGCAGTGCAGGTATTCGAGTATTATAATTGTCAGAGAAGTAACTGGATCTGATAGAAACGCCACTTATTTTCTGACATTCGCCTGCACTGCCACCTGAAATGTATTTCACCTCGCAAAGAGCGTCAAACACGAAAAGACTTATCAAAGGGAACTTGTTCATTCTGCCGCATACACGTTATTTCGAGAACTTTTTGGAATACCTTTATTACAAAATGGGAGCCAATTCTCAGTAAAGAGGCTGATTATATTGGCGTTTTTCGTTACAACTACTTTTATTCCTCGTTACAATTACTGATTACAGTTTTCTGTTATGCGAGGCTTAATCAGTTCAAAGTCTGAGCAGCCGATTGGCCATGTAGAGACTAGCGCTCGTTTTTTCTGCGATAAATCACGAGTGGCCCTCCATATTTCATCTGAATTTTATGTCGCAGTGACCAACTACCGGATGTGCTTTGAGTGGGTGAAGTGCTTCCAAAATCGACTACCCTACCATGCTGTAAGTGCGGGAAAGCTGAACGGCCACGATGTGTACGTAGCTCGCGCGGTACACGAAGGTGAGACGCTCATTGGCTGGGCACAGCCCGGCGTCTCCTGCTGCAACGTCAGCTGGGGAGGTGGAGCGCACGAACTCGAGGAGTACCAGGTGTGTCATCACGTTTTGTTTGTCACTCAAATAGTAGTTTTTAATGTCTTTTTTTGTTCAATTTTCTTTTTTTATTAGTGAGCATCGAACTAGGCAGGGCAGCACGTCTGTTTTAATGTCTAATGCAGCCAGCTTTCATCATTTAATGAATATGCATCTAATAAAATCATAGACAATGGGGAGACATGTTGACAAAAATATCTTACGCTATAACTGTTCACAGGATTAAGTTTCAGTCAGTGCTGAATCAGAATATATTATTAGCAAACTGGCACTTACGAAGTGAAAGCTTCCTGAGTTTGGCCTGTGCATCGTAAATTAGTAGTGCAAAATACACGCACTGAACATGCTCTCTAGGCTGCAGTGTTAGCTGCCTCCTTGTCCTTTTTTGCTGACTCTTTATACATGAGGTAGCCTATTTTTGAATTCATTTCCCATCCTACAAACTCAGATGAAGGGGTTGTAGGTAAAAGCTGCTTAAATGCAGCCTCACGAGCCTACAAACTTGAAGTACAGCAAGGAGGCATTTGCAGAAATTATACAAATCAAAACTTGAGAACAACAATTATGCAAAAATCACCAGAGAATACGCGAATCAATACTATGTTTGGTATGGTGGGGTAAAATGAGACACGGGGCAAAACGCGACATTCTGGCTTTGCCAGCCTCTGTATATATTACATAAGCTACTTTTCTTTGTTTCTTTTTTCCAGTGATAAGTATTGGTCTTTGTCTACCTTCTCATGTGTAAGAGCTGCTGATTGATCACAGTGTTCACAGAGCAAAAAAAAAAAATAATCAGTTGGTGTCAGTGTTTTCGTGACTCGTCAAAAAGCGGTGAAATTCTGTTTGGCCGAACTTCTGTATCCGTGCATGAAGCTACTCCTGCGTCAGTACAGCAACGTAAATATTTATTTTCTTACTTTATGCTACGAGCTACACAACACCGAAATTTTAGTTCATTTCATGCCCAGGGACAAAGCGGAATTTTTTTTGGCATGTGAGAGGGGCAGAAGGCGACAAAAAGGCATCCAATTGCCTTAGAGAGGGTCTTATTAATTGAACAATTAACCTACTCATTAAATATTATCTTTCTTTGTTTACGACGGTTCGGAAACACAAGAGAATATTTTATAGAGCTTCCTGGGAAGAAAACAACATGAACAAGCACTGATTGATATTCACAATATGACTCCCTCCATTGGCACCGCATCGAGGTTTTTTGCAGTGAAAGCTGTTATGAGATCACAACTCGGGTCTCGTGCAGCATCGTAGTTGTCCGCCGTCGCCGCCGCCGGTGTCGGTAACCATTTAAGGGAATCAAGCGAATTTAAGGGGAAAAAATACCCAGTACCAATGACACAGTGAGCATCGAACCTGGTTCCGCTGGGTGCCAGCCTAGTATTCTACCACTGAGCCACGCCGGTGCTTTGAACTTGTTGGCAAACTTACCTTAGGCAGGGTTAATGTCGCGAAAGCAATCGCGTTAATTACGACTTATAAAGCGTTTTAAAACAGCGAAAAAACAAGCAGTCGTCGCACAATGCGAATAGCGTAACGAGTGGGTCGTCCAATGCTTCAACCCATTACAAAAGCGTGTTTTTGTTCAGCTATTACCTGTGGTTCATACCCACTTCAGGCATAATTGCTCATTGACATCAGCCACTGCATGAAAAATTGTCACGAAATTCCTCGCCATAGTTTAGCGGATACTACGCTTCTCAGAATAATGACAAAAAATAGCACACTGAATGCTGGTCTACTACCCTAAATTTTTATTAATAATGCCGTAGTGGGCATCAAGCAAGTGTGCTTGCAGCAGTTACCCAATGAGTGTTTAGAAAACGCTCTGAAAGGCCGCTCTTCTCGCTTTTGCTGTGACTGTGCTGTGGCTTCTGCGCAGGCCTGGCGTTTTTTTTTTGTGTGTGCGTTGCCAAGGATGCTCTCAAGATACTCATAAGAATGGCGGAATCTCCAAGTCAAGTCGTTCACAAACATGCTTTACGATTGAGTTTTAACAATACTTCTTCAATACCCGAACTGAAAAAAAAACACCCCCCCCCCCATTAAATTGGAATCGAGCACAGTTTTAAATTTATTGCCTCACAAAGCGTAGCGGACGAAGTTAAAAGCCATTAAAAGCAGTAATGCACCAAAACCGCAAAAATAGGTGAAAAAGGTACGTCAAAACATGTCTGGCCTCCAATAGTGGAATAATTCAATGAGATGCAAGCGTTCAACAAAATACAACATTAGCACAAAGAGAGACTGGCGGTGTTTGATCTGCAAGGAGTTTCAGAGCAACACAACACAACGTTCTGTCTAGATTAAAACCGTGGAGTTAGAGGACTGGGCTTCTTAAAGAGACTCTGAAGTCAAATAACCATTTACTTAATAGTGAAATCTCAATGTATGACACCCAACTTGGGGAGTAAACACAGCGCAAAAATACAGACAAGGACAGAGGAAGAGACGACACCGCGCTGTTTCGTCTCTTCCTCTGTCCTTGTCTGTATTTTTGCGCTGTTTTTACTTCCCAAGTATGAACCACCAACTAGCTCAACTTTTGCTATTATTGACACCCAAAACGACAATATTATCAAAAGCAGTGCCCTACTTACCAAGAAATTTGGGTAAATGCACAAAAATACTTCTGGCGCAGTACGACATTCTCAAAGGAATCTCGATGACGTCAGACGAACCGCCTACAATTATTCACTAGTAATTGAGCTAACTGCACTAAATAAAGGACCTTCTGTGCATCAAGAGATGCAATAAAATGCTGCTTGTTCGTTTCTGTTTGATTCACGGGAAAAAAAGAACCGCTAGACGTTACTATGGCGATTGGCACGAGTGTTCCAAGAACACAACTTTCGCGTAGTTAAACTGGACAAGTCTTGCCATCTAGTGGGGCTCCGTTGAACCAAAAAACGTCTGCCATCTCGGAGCATATAACAGGAAATTGATCAAAGGCCGTTGTTGCTGCTATGGCTCTCGCTGCTTTCGTTCTGCTGTTACTAGTGTCGGCAGCTGCGCAGTAAAGCCGAGCAACGTTGTTTACAGCAGCAGTGACGTGAGATGGTCTGCTTCTAAAGCGGGCAATTTGAAGTGCACCAACCCAATGCGGGCCACTAAAACGTGACTTTATTTAAAAAACAAGTCCTTCCTTTGCACTAAAGTAATACTACTAGATTCCTGGACCCCTATTTCTACAATCAACGTCGACTTAACGGTTGCCTAATTTAGTGTCCCCTTAAGACTGCGTAAGGACCCACAGAGTGAACTGTGGGTCCTTACGGGTTCAAGCAGTTGTACTGTGAAAACTGATTGAATACTTTTTTCCACACTGTCTCGTTTTACCCAGCAATTTGCGGCAAAATGAGACATGCAAAAGTTTGTTATGCCTTTTTAAAATAATGTTTAGTGAAATAAAAAGAAATATTCACAATTTAAAATTTTTGTCGTATTTTACCTCACCCTGCACTACATATAAGCAAACCTAAATTGAAACCATCTTACTTAAATATTAGAGTAGAGTTCTTTGCGAGTTCAGGTGAACAAATTGAAATAAGTAAGAACGTAGCTATTCAGCAGAGCTAGAAGAGTTTAAGTCAAGGTGTTTAAGTCAAGGTGAAGAGGTTAACAAGGTGTCAGCATGGTTCATTCTTCACCATGTCTCGTTGGGTAGCCCACTGTATTGTTCCCGATTTCTGCTAAATTCTCGAGGTTGTTTATATTATTGCTTATTTATGATTATAAGAGGGCACTGTGGAGACATTTATTAAAATTGTGTTCTTTCATCGCTCTAGAGTGAATTATAACGCTGCAGTTGGACCTCGATATCATGAGTTGCACATGTGTCTGAGATATCGTTTCTGGATTAAGTGAAGACGTTCAGAGTTAGTGAAAATTGTAGTGCCCCAAACTACCCGGAAATAATTTCAATGTCAATATAAAATTGTGTTGTATATCAACATCTTAGTTTGTGTGGGAAGGATATACTTTAAACGTCCTATAACACCAGTATTCTGAGTTGTTTTGAGTGATACGTGGGCTTTGAGCTGTTTTGAGCACACGTGTATGCCTATAATTTTAACTAATTGTTGCCTAAATTATAGATAGGAGTTCAATAATAATAACGCTGCCCCTCGAAAACCATAACACGGCAATAAACTTAGCAAAATGTTAAGGTCCACGAGGTCAAAGGCATTAGAAAATACCATAAACACACCAACGACAATAAGTTTACATTGTAGTTGTGTTATTGTATATTCTTTTTGTTCGAGTAATGCACACTCAGTTGATTTATTTTTACAGAATTCAAATTGTGAAGGTGTAAGCAATTGATATTTATTAATGAAATTCGACAGACGCAGATGAAACGTTTTTTCAGAGACCTTTGAAAACACTGGCAGAATTGAAACTGGTCTGTAATTACTAAGAACATTTCAATAAGATTTTTATGGGACAACAACTTGCGCTAACCGCATTTTTTCATGAAAATATTGCGCTCTCCAAGCATATATTAAAGACATATGAGCAAGTTTAGGGTCGATTCATGCTTCACCGGGCGTATCTGAATGGCATCAATGCCACAGCTACTGCTGTTATCGAGATGTTTTATCACCATAACTACTTCCCCTTTCATAACTGGACAGAGAAAAATTGATTCACTTTTTTCACCACTTATATACTTGCAGCAATCACTTTGAGCACAGGAAATAGTCAAAATTGTTAAAAATGTATTGAATAGGCGAGCAAATTCCGCCCTAGAAACTTCTTTTCCATCAATAGTTATTTTGGTTAATGCAGTGTGTCCACCACTCCGCTGCAAGAGCGTGTTTAGTCGTGTCCAGAGCACACTATAGGCTGAGCATAACTGACATCTAGAAGTGTTAAGCAGTGCACATAACGAGCAGATTTTAAGTTTTTGGTAAACTTGTTTCTATGTTTCTTGAAAAAAAAGCAAGATCTTCAGCCTGTCGAGAGCCCCAAAATTTCCTCTATAGCGTTTGTTTGATTTGTATTTTTCTGCGAAGCTCGGGCGTTATCCAGGGTATGCAGATTCGGCGACTTTTTGTGTGCTTAGCAAGAAAAAAACAGGCGTAGTATATACGTTGGAATGTATCAATAAACGTATTGTAGGCTAAATTTCATAATAGAGTTCAGCTATTTTTACCCAGTTTATGTTTATGATTTTGCTGCCACACCATGTCAGTGATGTCTCGGAGATTTCTTGGCGTGTGAATGTCCTCATGGTCTCCCTCGGAGACCCTTGCTACACCACTTCAAATGAATTACCCATTCAAATCAAGAAATGAGTGGAAGGGGGGAAAATACGGAATAACAAGATACGCCAGCTAGCATTAAATAGCGCCGACAACATGCCCTAGGTCGTCAATGTATTCGGCTCGCAGAACTTATGTGCCGAGAGCTGCTTGCATGGTTTTACATGCGTATAACTGACTCATTTCGAAGCAACCGTATTTAGCACATAACCATGCCGCATCAAGACCAGAAATGGGAATGACCGGGTCAATTTGTTAATAACTGGCTGAAGCCAGCTGCTTGAAAGAAGCTTCTAGTAAAAAAAAAAAAAGTCAGGGAGAGAGAAAGAGAGAGAGAGATGAATAAAGAAAAAAAGAAATAAAGGAAGAAGAAAAACATACCTCTACTTGACGATTGTGTATGCTTAGCGAAATCATAGTAGGAGTGGGTGTAAACCACGCTACGCTCTTTTGATTTGTGTTTCGCTTAGTAAGTCCGTAAGATAAAAAAAAATTCAGCAAGAATCATTGAGGTTTGGACCCTTAGACACGGCTGTCAACGTTTCCATGGCTACGCACATGCACCGCATACTGTGTGCATTCAGTCATAATGCCTGAGCAGGGACCAATCACAGAACCTGGTGATAGCACCAGAGCAACAAAGCGGAGCCGTAAGGGGAGCGGTACTTCTCTCGCAACAGCCGGATATTTTGGCTGGCTAGGTGTTGTGCCCTGAAGCGCGTGAAAGCACGTGCACGCGGTTGGCGACATGCGTAAACATGCCAACTGTTCTTCACGCAGTGCTTGGCGACGGAGACCCCGGAAAAATTGGACTGGGTGCCAGCCGCTGACGGAGATGTGCCTAACGGTGCCGTGCAGGGAGGCACCACATCTGATGGCGAGCAGCTGTTCGTCGGCCGCGTGCACAGCGGCGACAACGTGTTTGTGGGGAAGGTGCAGCCCAGTCACAATGCTCTCTATGTGGCACACGATGGCCAGGAGGTGAAATTCAACAACTACGAGGTCCTCGTCTGCAAGAAGCTCGAGTTGTGCTAGTTCAGCACGTCTGAGCTGTAGTGCTGTCCGAAGGCGAACTCCAAAGAAAGACATTACCAGAAATAAAATTGTTGACTGATTCAAGCGGGACACAATCACACTTTTTGCACATGTAAACAAAAATTTATTGGTTTTGGATAGCACGCATTGCAACGCAGTGCATCATGCAGCTCTCATCCACCTCATTTTCAAGAGACAATTCACCATGTAGTCGATTGTCTGATAAAATTTCCACTGGTAGGGATCAAACATAAGCAAAAATTTAGAACAGACACCTAGTCATGATGTAGAAAGGCGGTGAAGTGTAGAGCACCTGTATGGGAAGGTGTTAAGATAACGCAAGTGACCTCACTAACGTGCCATTTGCGAAATTTCGAACACACCACATGAAAGTGAATGGAAAAAAAGGAAAAGAGAAAAGTGACAACATATGAAGTGTTGTCGATATAGATATTGGTATAATGTGCAAAAAAAGAATGCGAATTTATTATCTGTCATGCAAAACATTTCGTTGCTAACATTTAAATTATTTGAAAGAGAAGAGACACAATGCTTTGTTCATGTCACAAACATTTTTTTGTAGCTTTTGGTGTAATCAAGAACAAGTCTTTCAATTCTCAAAGGTCAGCCTAGCATAGACGCAAATCTTTTATTCGAGTAGGTGGTGTATTCATTCCTTATTCGTCAATGCGACTGACAGAGCATTTGCGTATTCGTAATCACGTCCGTATGTATCCCGGCAGTCTTGAAGACGAATGAGCGCCAGATTATAAGTGATAGCACCACCTTATGGGGCAACATTCTAGAGCATAGTTATGAACTCGTGGGGGGAAATGACCTGACGCCTGAGAGTCAGGGGTCACGGTGCTCTCCGAAAAGAGGGCAACGGATCGTTATTATGAAAATTACAAGCCTCTTCTGGACAAATGCTGCACTTAGAAGCCATTCAGTCAGTCTTTTCGTTGACGGCAACAGCTCCCTGGAGTGGTGTCCATGTCACCGAGTAAGGAGGTGCCGCAAGACGCAGTCACGGATGTGACGGGGGCACTGCGATTCACAAAATGGGCATTAGAGTGCTGTTTTGAAGGCCACAAAGAGTGGCGGCGGAGTGATTTAATGTAAGAACCTTGCAATCTCAAAATTGTTTGCTACATTTTCAAGCGCTATGTCTACGGATAAGCAAAGTGGCTGACTGGGCTAGCTGGTTTAGCATACTTGAGTTTTAACAGCGCGAAAATATACACGGTGGACAGAAAAATGACGGGACCACCGTGTATTTTTTTGCGCTGTTAAACCTCCAGTCTACGGCTAAGACAGTGATTGCATGGTTGCTATGGTGGTGTTTATTTATTTTTTATTTATTTTTATTTATTTATGTTACCTCAAAGGCCCCTGATGGAGGGGGTTTTACATGAGGGGTGGACATATCTACATCACTTCTTCTGTGATATGTTTCAACATGGTTGGATCTGATTGAAGCTCTGCTTTGGTGGGAAAGCCTTTCAAGTCCCTTGCTGTTTGGTTGAAGAGCGAATATACATGAGAGACAGTATGAGCTTGAGGGGGGTATATGGTTTTTTCGTGATTGGTCCAGTTTGAATTGCAATGTGCGGGAACAGTGAGGTCGGTTTGAGGTGATTTCTAAAAGAACTTGTGAAAGAGAGAAAGGCAGGCGACTCAATGGCATGATACAAGCCGGGGAAGGTTTCCTTTTGATTTGAGTTTCGATGAACTACAGTTATAGGAATAGTCAGGAAAAATGAAACGTACGGCGCCTCTCTGTGCTGATTCAATCATGGTAATGTGGTTACGTTGGTATTGGTCCCACTGGGCACACGCGTATTCGAGTTTCGGCCTGACTAAGAGCACTAGGTTAGAAGTTAGACGGGAGGGGGGACTAATTGGATATTGATTGATTGATTCGTGGGGCTTAACGTCCCAAACCCGCCATATGATTATGAGAGACGCCGTATGGGAGGGCTCCGGAAATCTCGATCATCTGAGGTTCTTTAACGTGCTCCCAAATTGGAGTACATGGGCCTACAACACTTCCGCCTCCATCGGAAATGCAGCCGCCACAGCCGGGGTTTGATCCCGTGACCTGCGGATCAGAAGCCGAGTGCCTTAGCCACTACACCACCGTGGCGGGGCAGCTAATTGGATATTACGTCGCAAGAAACCAAGAACACAATTTGCAAACTTTTTAGGCTGGTTATGTGGTTTGGCTATGATAGCTCAGAAGTGAGATTAATTCCTATCCTAAATACTTGTAGGTGTTAACAGCGGATATTAAAGAGTCACTTATGATATAATGGCGAGCAGGGTATGATTTTTTCGATGAAAAGTGAGAAGAGAGGTTTCTGACAATAAACGTCGCTAAACTTGTGACACCAGTCTTCAATTTTTCGAGTCAGATTGTAAGTATAAAACATCATTATTATTGTTAACAGGGCGGTATAGTACGCAATCGCCTGCAAACAATCGAATTCCGGAAAAAATATCTGTTGGAAGATTGTTAATGCAAATGAGAAAGAGCAGGGGCTCGAGGACTGTGCCCTGAGTGACCACGGGTATAACTGCTGCGAGAGATGAGGAGTGTTCGTTCGCGTATACCAAATGTTGATGGTTGCACAGAAGCTCACCTACCCATTGGAAAACACGATAATGAAAGTGTAGGCGAGACAGTTCTAGAAATATGCGGATGTGGGGTACATTATTGAAACATTTTTAAAAGCCCAAAAATATCGTGTCAACGGTGGTGTTAGTATCAGGGCTAGAATTTACGTCATTAATGAAGAGAGCCAGTTGAGTGCCTCACGAAATACATTCTGGAAGCCATGCTGACTGGGATGATAGAAATTGACAGAGCTAAAATTTTTGTGATATGTGAATGAAGAATGTCCTTTATTAATTTAGAACATACACTCGCTAGTGAGATGAAACGATAGTTTCTCGGTGACTCTGCGTTACCATTTTTGGGCACTGGGATGACCTTCCACATCTTCCAACTCTGTGGTAGGCTACTGGTGGAAAGTGATTGCTGGAATATGTAAGAAAGAGTGATATTAGTAATTTGCTTTTTTAGTATTTTGGTATTGATGTCGTCTATGCCACCTGATGATGCCAACTTTAGGCTGTGGATCAAGGCAGCAATACGAGCAGCTTCAAAGGCGATATGCCGCATTACAGAATATTCAATTAGAGGCAAGACACTGGGTTATACTGTAAGGTTTTATTACAGGGGCGGATCCAGCCACTCATTTTAGAGAGGGGGGGAATCGCTATAAGCAACACCGGAGAGGGTGCGTGCTGCTGACTTTTTTATTTTAGTAGCTCAAAAACGCCATCATAGCATGCATACTGTTAATTTGTGCTCACAATGGTCCAACTGATTGATTGATTGATTGATTTGTGGGGTTTAACATCCCAAAACCACCATTTGATTATGAGAGACGCCGTAGTGGAGGGCTCCGGAAATTTCGACCACCTGGGGTTCTTTAACGTGCACCCAAATCTGAGCACACGGGCCTACAACATTTCCGCCTCTACACAATGGTCCAACTCATGTGTCCTAATTAGTGATAGGAGGTGGGCGACACGCACAGAAAGGAGGTGACGACATATGCTTTGGGGGGGGGGGGGGGGGGCGGGCGATCAACTCTACCACCCCCCTCTGAATTCGCCACTGTGTTATTACCGGATCACGCAGCTTTCTATTGTTACGAAGGAAGAACGCAGTTAATGTCTCTGCATTCATATCGCAAATGGATGTATCTGTGCGTACACGCACTTAGCCACATTCAATGTTGCTGTTGGGTAGATGTGAAAAGGCGCCAGAACTCAAGCGAAAAGTCACAAAAAGCAGCCATAGCATGTATTTTTAATGCTCAATTCATAGCAAAATGACAAAAAAACGTGATGTTAAAATTAGATTTTAATACTAAAAGTAAGTATCAAAATTTTAAAATAAAAATTTACAAATGAGATCGCAACTTATTTTTTCCTTACAGTTTGGCATTCACGTGACAAGTAAGTAGCAAATAAATGAATCAAATAATGGTTTAGCCCACTGGTACATATAGCTTATGTAGAGCACAAAGTTTGTGTCAAAGACAGAGTAATATTAGAAAGCTGCAGCCAACAAGACCATAACAACATAAAAACGCTGAAACAGACTTCCCTTGGAAGCACAGATCGACATTGATGAACTACATTTACCACAATGAAAATACAGCTTCAAGCAGAGAAATGTCTTTGAAGGCCAACAGTCTGGCCGCATTTTGTTGCGGAAGCCTGTGTTTGTGAAGTTCACGCGCGAAGACGCTTTACGCTTTTGCGCTACAATACGGCGTGCAGTGCCAGCATAGATGGTTGGTAGCAACGTACGCGTTTGCCAACATGCAGGCAACTACGTCACTCTGTCTGTACAGTCGCGCCGCACGTTGCGTTGAGGCGCACCATCCTGTTGGCAGAGCGAGAACATGCAAGCGCATCGGCTGACATGACAGAGGTACTTGCGAACTACAGTTTATTTTGAAGTAATAAGCAAATCGTCTTTTAAATGCGCCAAAATGGAAGTTCAATGTAGCCAGAAAGAAGCTATGGAGCCAACCTGAAATTTTCATTGCCAGTAGGAATCGTAAGGTAGCCAATTTTGCCGCAAAGTTACACTAACAGTAACCCCAGTACACATTCTCCCTCAATGAAATGCGAAGAAATGAGCTAATACAACCAGGACTCGTGCAGAAAGACGCGATGCTTTGTAAATGCCAGACATATGGTGAGCCACGCTGAGCAAGAAGGCTAGGACATATCATCATCGTTCTCCTTGTGTCATACGAAGGACAGTGACTGATACGGCCAAAAAGGGCATGTTCTTCCAGCGTTCAGGAATGTGAAATATTGCCCATTTCAATGTACGCTGAGCAGAAGTGCTACACACTTCAATGAACGAAGGAGTAGACTTGGCTTCATGACGTTGAAACAGACTTCCTTGGGAGCGCAGACCGACATTGATGGTTACAGGGGCGGCAAAGACCACCGCATGTGCCACACAAACTGGGCGAACCCTCTTTCTCCCCACTGGTCTGGTAAACAAAAGTGAATAAGTGGTCAGACGTGCGGCCGACAACAGATCAGATCGTGCATGAAAATACCAAGTGCATGTGGCAATCTAGAGAAAACAACGCATGTCTCGAAAAAAAACAAAGACGCATCTGGCTCTAATGTAAGACTTTAAAGGAGCGTAGACGCGCTAATCCCAGAACAAACGTTCTGACTAGATATGTTCGTATTTATTGCAGAGCATGGGATCCGATGAGGTTCAAAATTCCATGTTACCTCTGTACCATGTGCATACCAGCTTCGCTTGTCGTCCACTTTCACCGAGTGATGATATGGCTCCTCAAACTTTTTTCGTTTTATTCATTTGTTGTTGAAAAGGTATAGTGGGCCTAAAAGCATTAAAGAGATAGAGTTATAATTGGGAATTATTTAAGATTTTGCACTGTGTTTGGTAGGTATGTATACAAACTCAAAATAAAGGAGGTTGTGTTGATTTTCACAATAATGCTCTAAAAGAACTCAAATTATATTTTTCTGAGTTATCTCTCGCAGTTTTTTTCTAAAGCTGAGCCTCACTATAAAATTGAATAACTATCCGTGAAACCAAAATATTGCAGGTATCCGCGAATGGCCGATATTTCTCATGAATTTAAAGAAGTATATTTTTGCAGTTTTGCAATCTTGTCCTTCGAAGCCAAGCTCTCTGCATCCCTGCAGACAAGCACCTGGAAGCTCGGCGCGGCACATGCTTCTTTAACAACAGTTAGTTTTTTTCCCATTTCAACCATGATATTTAACTAATGCTGCACTCATCGTTTCATGCTTTCAACTAAGTCTAGCTATGACAATGTTCATATCCGACGGTGGCATGACGCGAATAATGACACCATAAGATCATCATCAAGGAGTGAAAATCAGTCAAGGCCAAATAAAGCCGTTAGAGCCCATTTGTAGACTTTTCCCTCCTATGTTCGCGATGTAAATGAAAGCGACAGGCAACTGATGATCACATTTCGACCTCGACCGACGTTTCCGCCCAGAGCTTTGTGCCAAAATGCAGAAGAAGCACGACAGAACATCGTCGGACAGCTTTCACATCCGAACTGATATTTGCGAAAGAGGCTTCTAGTAAGGCTGACAGTCACGTGGTCTTGACTTCCTTCAGGCTGCGCGGGTGTCCCTCGCCGGCTCGTGGTATTTACTTGGTCGCACGCTGTAATTCGTGGTGACTAAAACAGCGGCGGCTGTTGTTTCGAAAGGGGTGTGCTGCCGCATGCTTGTGAATCAGAGGGAGCATCCACTTCTTGTCGCTGACTCATCTCAGCCAGAATCAGGCAGCTGGGAGTGCCGCACGCAGTTCTGGAACAGTGCCATGGCTAAGGCGACGTCGGCAATTGCTATACGCGGTCTGCGCAGGGGAGCAAAAAATAATGCAGACGAGCAAGATCGCGCACAGCCGTTGACAACCGCTGGGACCGTCACCGGCGGCGCGCTACACAAAGCTCTTACGGACACGGCGTGGCAGCAAAAAAGAAAAAAAAAAGCACCAGGCGGATCTCCTCGGCGCACAGGAAGCGCAACAACTACAAGAAACGAGCGTATATGCGAGTGTGTGCGGAAACATTCGTGACAAACGACGGCTTCCCTGCATTAATATGGGAAAGGCGGTGGCGTCGCCAGAGCACAGCGCCTTCCCCATAGGCTCGCTGTTATACCAGAAGCACGGAGGCTCTCTCCCGAAGCTGCGTGCTGCCCTTAATGGCGTGTACGCTACTCAACGTCAGCATCAGGCCTCGTCAACCGAGTAAAGCCTGGGCGTAATTAAGCCCGCGCGCTCCTAGTCTTCACTTGGCTGGTATATAACTCGCTGCTTAAAGGAACACGAGGCGTGTGCCCAAGAAACACGAATTTATTATTCGGCACGTTCCGCCTCCCATGGTGCATACTCATGCCCAGTAAAGGCGGGCAAGTCGCCCGCGAGAGTTGCGAACGACGTTCATGCATCGGCGATGTTCTAGAGAACGTCTTCATCTCACGGCGTGACACGGAAATAGCGACTCCGGTTTGACACGTATGCACGATAGAGCCAAACACGCGTACGAAGCTTATCTCCGTTGGGCTTGAAAGTGCGAGCAACAACAGCATTCAGCAAAAAAAAATCACGTGGCTTCTGAAGACAAATTATGACATTTTTTTCTTACGTGATCTTAATGTGAGCTGTACGAAAAAAAAAAAACTTGATGCGAAGACCAGAAAGGCGGTTTGGTTATTGAAGTGAAATGAACTGTAAATTATGAACAAACTGCCCACATATCAATCAACATATACCCCCTCCCCCCTTGGCTCTTGTAATGCAAAAATTAGCGTATTCGTTCTCCCAAGATGCATTCCTTGTGGATCTATTGTACAAGCTTGAGCAAACTGATTTCTTGTCACTGATTCATACGTCTATTAACCGTAGAGTTTCCCAATATACACTAGAGGGAACTCTGGCGCTAGTGTCTATGGGAGCTGCAATGCATGGCGCTTCAGCGAGCATGGGAATGATGGGTAGTACACACATTTGTCTAAACTTCGTACTTCTGGCCTGCTTTTGGCTCCGTGTGTGTTCGTGTGGCTTGGAGCTGTTTTATCACGAAACAAATATTAGCAAACATTCAGCGGTTGCGCTTCACCATCTTATTCTTTTAAAATTTACCTTTCCAAATCAGGTCACGAAGTTCAAAAGGGTTGAATCTTTCTTTCGAAGCAAAACCGAAACACAGCAATAAACGAAGCCTGAAGTACGATTTGCCACCCACAAGTACGAAGACTAGGCAAATGTGTGTACTACCCATTATTCCCATGGTCGCTGAACGATCGCAGCGCCAGAGTGCCCTCTAGTTAATTTTTTAAGAAACTCTATGTTCTTAACTATACCGTACTCAGTCCCGTAAAACTATCTCATAAATCATTATTATCAACATCACTATCATC